GCTCTGGGGAAGACGTTCAAGTGATGGCAAATAAAACTCGGATCGAGGTCGGGCATGTCATAAGGCGACCACGCGAAGACTTCGATATTGGCCATCAAAAACTCAACCATCTCGGTCCTTTCTTGTGTGGTAAGGCTTGAGCCGAGCAAGAAGAACCTGTCCGGACTCTCTGTATCAATTCGCACTTCGACCAATTCCTCGACGGCTTTGTCCTCGGCCCTAGTGCCCACATCGTCAAGGACTCCTCAGTCTCTCGGTCCCTCTATCATTTGGATGAAGCCCTTGGCAGTTCGGCTCCCGTTGACTGCCACGAAGCATTGCTTCAACATGACTTGATCGCCCCAAATCTCCTCAATTGCCCCCGTAGCCGAAGGAAATCTCATTACCTGATGGAAGGTCGACGCTACGGCTTGCATAGCGTAAAGTCATCTCTTTCCAAGGATCAGGTTATAAGTAGATGGCACCTGCAATACCCAGAACTCCACTTGCTTGACCACGGATCCCGCTTTTACCGGCAGGATAATTTTTTCCAAAGGCCACTCAGGTTTTGAGTTGAAACTAACCAGTGGAGAAGTTGTCGGAGCCAAGTCTGTATCCCGGAGCTTGAGCTGTTTAAATGCGTCATAATACATGATCTCGACCGAGCTTCCCTGATCGATCAAGATGCGCTTGATATCGAATTCTTTGACGCGGAGTGTGACCACTAAGGCATCGTTATGCGGCGTCTGAATGCGCTCTAGGTCCCTTGTAGAGAAACTGATTACGTCTTTTTCTTCGATCCGGCTGCGACTAGCTCTTCCAAGTGTTGCCTCAAAGGAAAACAGTCCTTTGTCCGGTGGCCGCGCTCCCGGTGAAATGTGCAACAGTACCGTGGATTGAAACCCTTCTGTCCGTCGCCCAACTTAGCAGAAAACCAGACATAATCCTCATCACAGATTTCACTAAGTATGCGATAAATTAGAATCTTAAAGACTGTGGTGATGCCTGTCCTGGCTTACAACCTTCTGTTCGCATCAGCCACGTCGTCACGGGGGTATTCATCTCGGTCATTCCGTTGACCCCTATCCCGGTTTCGACGATTTGAACCTCGATCAGATTCCTCGGCGCGGTCATTTGAACGGTTGATCTCCTGTCCGATCGCGTGCACCTTGCCAGCCGACCTCTTGTCTGTTGCTACCGGAGTTGCCTTTGTGGTAGATGCTGCCGCATCATCTTCTACTCGGATGTGCTCGTTCATGCGCTACATTAATTGGCCCATGGATGTCGGCTGGTGCATAGTAAGCGAGTCCCGCAGTCTATGTCCGACCGGGAGACCACGCTTATATTGCGTGATTGCAAGGTTGACCGAGCAAACCAAGATCTCGTTGAAGGTTTCCCAGTATCTGGAGTTGTATGCCTTGAGCATGTCGCTCGGCTCCATCTTGACACTGAGAAGGTGGTCAACTTCCTTCGGCATCTTAGTGTTGGTTTTGAAGCGCGTCACAAAGGCTTCTGCCAACTGCTGCCACCCTTCGATGCTTCCCTCCGGTAACCTCTCGAACCATTTCAAGCCCAACTTGCCCAAACTTGACGGGAAGATAAGGCACATAAGAGCGTCATTTGGCCTATGTCCGGCCATGACTTGGCGAAAGTGGCTTACATGCATATATGGATCAGTTTTTTCATCGTGGAGCGTGAACTTTGGCTGGTAGAAGCCCGTCGGAAGCGGTGTTGTTTCTATCTCCAGGGAGAAAGGAGTAGCGCTCAGCCTCGCCAAGTCTGTGTCTAAAAGGAGAGGCACAGCGAGGCGGGGTGGAGGCATTCCGACCTCTTCACTGGCGTGAACCCCATAGGAGAGCTGCTGGAACGCCAGCACCCTCTGAGCCTCCCGCCGGTGAGCCCGTTCTTTCAAGACTGCCCGAAAATCCTCTAAATGAGCGGAATAAGAATACCTTGACGTCGTCGCCGAACATGAGGGTTAATAGGTGTTGTCTTGCGCCCTGGACTTCTCTACGTGCGCATCAGAATCTCCAACCTTGTAACTTCTAGTGATTGAGATAGACGGAGTACGCCGTTGGCTCCGACTGCCTGAACGGCGGGGGTGGTCACTGTGGTCTCCCACTCCAGCTACACCCTTCCCTTTGACATGCCGCTTAAGATCCTCCATCTCCGCCGCCATTCGCCGGATGACGGCATCTTGGTCCCTTAGCTTGTTTTCCAGTCGTCTGGCATACGATTCTCTCCGCCACCGATAACTGTCTAGACTCCGTGAATGACCAAAGCTTCTTCCGCGCTTATCCTGCGCGTCTCTTGAATGTCCTCCCGGAGAAGTCTCCAGGTCCGCCATCAGAGGAATGATGGCGGGATATCCTTCTCTCCATTTGCCTGACTCAGGGCTAATTCCGTCGATGGCAGATAACGGAATCTCATCGTTGTTCACCATGGACGGCGATCAGATGAGCCTGGAAGACAAGGTTTTGTCTGTCAAGTTCCCACAGACGGCGCCAATTGTACGAGGAGCAAATATTCCGGCAAGCCTGTATTCCTTTCTTCCAAGCCTCTGCTTGTCCGATAGACCTGCGAGCACGACGACAGTGAGCTACCCGGCGGTGTGTGGTCGGAATACCCCTCCGACGATCAAGTTAGACACACACAGGGATAGAGAGAGAGAGAGAGAGGATTGAGTGTTTTGTGTAAATCTTACCAAAATGTTCAGCTACCTCAGCATGGGGGGCGCAGACTCGCTTATATACCTTCTGCGCTTCAAATCTACTCTCATTAGTCTCTCGACACGTGGTGCTGCTATCCCATCTGTCAGCGCAAATCTAACTGAACATCACCTAACCAAGCTGCCAGCCCACACTACTGGGAGCTTGGCAGGCGGGCTGTAGCATCTCGGCTGCCAAAGGCCGTGCTGTGTTGGAAGCCAGAGCGCTCCGCTCACCAAGCGCAATGATGACCGAGCTCGGTTGCATTTCGGCTTAGCCGAGCTCGGGACAGCTTATGCTGGTTAGCCGTCGGCCTTCCAGCCGGGCTAACCCATGGACCGTGGAACCCAGTGAGGCAGCGGACACCTCAGTCGAACCATCACTCAACCGGTCTCTGCACCCTGAAGCCAAGTAGCTCGATCCAACCATGTCTTGCCTTAACCGAGCAAAACCTTTCGGAACAGGCCCATGCTACCACGGCCCAACTGTGTTCGGCCCAAATCTGCCCAGCCATTACCACGGCCCAATCCAGATCATAAATCTCCCTCTCTTAGGTTTCTAATTTCATAACAAATAGGTCCTTTTATTAATAAATCATCAAGTTAATTAACAGTTTTTAACAATGTTAAAATTTTATTTCAATTAATAATTTAAATAATTTTATTATTATATAGGTGAATAGTTAGAAATTGCACATTTTCAATTAATTTTATTAAATAAAAAATTCTAGCAATGAGATATTTGTAATTTTTCAAACTATAAAGGACAATTCATATTTTAAACAAATCTCAAAATGTGTATTTATAACTTACCCTTTTTTTTAAACATTTACAAGACGCTAATCCGTTTCTCTCATAGATTCTATTTGAGAAGGGAAAAAAAATACATGTTTCTTGGTCCATATCATTCATTTAGATAAATAAAGAGGAGATAAATGAAATGAAATGAAATGAAATGATAAGAAATATAATGAAATTCATTTCTCTTATAGCTCTTATTTAGAATATATCCAAAAGTGAATATATTGCAAGCAAAAAAAAAAAAATATTTTTTTGTTATAATACCCAAGCATGACTTTTAGATAGAGAATAAATAAAAAGACTACACTCATAAAATATTAATTTGTTAATATAATATGATATAATTTATATATATATATATATATAGCTTAACCAAATAAGATACTAGATAGATCATTTTCTTTAATTTTTTCTCCTATTTATCCAAGCAAGATGAATAAAAATCACAATCTTTTTTTTTTTCTTCTTCTTCTTCTTAATTCAGGCCTCAGTTAAGGCCTCAGTTGTTAACGTTTTCATTTTGCAAATTATAAAAACAAGAAACATGTTTTCATTTATTTTTGTAAAAAATTAAAATAAAAAACTTGTTTGGTATACAAAATATTTTAAAAATAAATAAAATAAAAACAGAGCAATATATTTGATGAATTATTGTATTTGGTGATGGATGTGGTGACCAGCCATAGTGGGTAGTTGAAGGTGTTTGTCGGAGTTAGTGATCGGATGTTGTTGAAGGAGACGAGGTGGCTAGAAGGACGTCAAAAGGTGGCCAAATATCACTATAGTGACCTCCCATTGCCGGAGGAGATTGGTCGGAGTTTGTTATCCACCGACCATGGGTGTTGGTGGTCGACGGTGGTAGTGAGTGGTAGCCAAAGGTGATGGGTGAGAGGAGAAAGTGAAACTTGTTTTAAAAATAAGTGAAAACAATTGTTCTGTATTTTCAAAAATTTTGAAACCTTTTAGTTCAATTTTATTTTTTTTAAATGAAAAAAATATATTAAACAAGTTTTCATTATCAATTTTCAAAAAAAAAATTAAAATGAAAAAAAGAAATAAAAACATTAACAAATGACTCCTAAGAGCATCTTCAGCAAGGATAGTTAAAATAACTATTCAAAATTTCACTTTACTATTTTAGCTAGTCATTTTTTTAATATGCACTCCAACAAGGGTATCTACTTTAGCTATCTTCTATTAAAATATTCTTATACTTTAACTACCTTCTTTCCAATCTAAAAAAAAAAACTAACTTCTTTCAAATTATTATTTTTTTCATTCTTCTAAATATAATTATATTTTTGTGAAAGTTACATTTTTCTACTATCGTATTTTTCAAATGGTCATATTTTTTCAACGGTCATATTTTTACAATGGTCATATTTTTCCAATGGTTATATTTTTACAATGGTCATATTTTTATACTTTTCCATTATAAATAAAACATTCCCTATCATTTGATCTTACCCTCAACTCAATTTTCTACTTCATCCAAACTTCCATATCTCTCTCTATGGCTTCCAATTCTCTTTATGATATGTTTGTAAATGACTCTGACTTCTCTGAATCTGATGATGATTTGGAGGTGCTCAAAGCTGTTACTATGGATGAAGAACTACTAGATAGTGAGATAGGATCAAGCTCACGTCGTGGTTCTGTTTGAGGTCGTAAAATCATTCATCGTGATCATATTCAAGGTCATGAAAGGCTTTTTCTCGACTATTTTGCTGAATCGCCTATATATCCTCCTGAGCTATTTCGAAGGAGGTTTCGGACGAAGCGTTCACTTTTTCTTCGAATTCAAGCTGCAGTAGAAGCGCACGATCCATACTTTCTCCAAAAAAGAAATTATGCTGGAAAGCTTGGTTTGTCTTCTCTTCAGAAGATAACTGTTGCACTTAGGATGCTTGCTTATGGAGTAGCCGCTGATTTTATGGATGAATATGTGAGAATTGGAGAAAGCACTGCAATAGAAAGCTTAAAATATTTTGTTAAAGTAGTTGTTAATATTTTTTCTAATGAGTATATGAGGTCACCAAACAACAATGACATCGTTAAACTACTAGCGGTTGGTGAAAGTCGTGGATTTCCTGGAATGCTAGGGAGCCTTGATTGTATGCATTGGAAATGGAAAAATTGTTCGACTGCGTTGAAAGGTATGTATACTGGTCACATTCATGAACCAACAATTATTTTGGAAGCTGTTGCATCATATGATCTTTGGATTTGGCATGCATTTTTTGGATTACCTAGGTCTCATAATGATATCAACATGCTAGAAAGGTCTTTTGTATTTACCGAACTTGCTCAAGGGCGTGCTCCTGCAGTCAATTAGACCATCAATGGTAATGAATATTGTCACGACCCAAACCCGTCCCTATGGGTTTAAGCATCATAATCGACCAGTAATCCGTGATTACCGAAGGCCTGCTTAACAGTAATGACAGTAATACAGAGTAAGGGGCTGGCGGAAGCCAAAACAGTAAATAAAAGATGTCCAATGAGCTGTGACATTCTGTATGCAAAAAGACTTTTCTGAACATATTCACATTTATAAGCAAAACATATATACACCATACGTACAAACGTCCAGGTTAGGGACCAGATCCCTAATTAGCGCAGTACAGTACAAGTCTTAAACAGTGTTACAAAATAGAGACAGAAGGGTGAAACTGAGACACCCTAAAACAGCCTTAGCTTAAAACAACTTGGAATCTCGCAGTGAGGCACAATGGTTGGCTTGACAAAACGAGAGCTAACCCGACGCCCCTAGCTCCGATCCGGTGCCTGGACACCTACATATATATATAAACAGTGAGCAAAAACCCAGTGAATAACAGTTGTGTAAAAAGGTTAAGAATGAATGTCCTTTCAGTCATTAAGCAATCATATCACTCATTTGGAAGCCATAGCAGTCATATGCAGTACATCCCATAGCAAAACAGTACAGTAGGTTTTAACAGACCGAACAGTCAGTTGATGGCCATCATAACAGTAACAGTAGTGGTTCCAAACTTGGGAACCGACAAAGATATCTGTGACAGTAGCAGTAACAGTACAGTAACAGTAAGTTGGTAAGGATGCCACGAATACAGTTTACAAATAGGACAAACATTCGTTCATTAAACAATAACGTTTCAGTAAATAGAACAGTTGATCATTCAGAAAATATTCATAATTGAACATATCTTTACAACATTGTTACTCATAGAGCACTAGGCTACAGATAGGCTAGTGCGCGTCCTCAGATGTCAACCCTACAATTACAGAGCGAACACACACTAAGTTACACACTTGGATTTAATAACTTAAGCCCTAACTTGACTCGGTGTGGTTCTACATCAATATCCTCCTTAAGATGCCTTAAACATGCCCTAGGAATGCCTAGGATGGAAAGAGGATGCAAAGAGGCACTTTAAAACACTTTTCAAAATTTGTTAAAACAGGGGTCCACGCTCGAGCGTGGCTTTCTATGCTCGAGCGGACATGCAAACAAAGGAGCTCCGCTCGAGGGTGACTTTCCCCGCTCGAGCGGACTGAAAACTCAAGCAAAAGTACTGGATGTATGCAATTCACGCACGAAGGGCGCTCGATCCACGCTCGAGCGTGAGACTCAGGTCCTCACTCGAGCGTGAACTCGTTCGCTCGAGCGGATTACAAAACAAATGAACTTATGGATACACGCATTTCACGCTCAAGCGTGACTTTCCACGCTCAAGCGGAAGTGCAAGACTCAGAGTGTACGCTCGAGCGTGAAGTCCTACACTCGAGCGTGGGTCCAAAATCTGGAATTTCCAGATTGAACCTCCAAGCACAAACTCAACTTTTCAAACATAAAATCCGATTCTTTTGGGCTAATTTTCTGGAAAACACTTTAAAACCCATAATATGACATGTTTCAAAGATCAATTTTGTAAAATCAAGCCCAAAGGTAAGTCAATTAATCACAACCTTCAACTCAAAATTCAAGAACATGAAAAACAATGCAAAACTCATACATGCATGAGTTCCCATGAACTCTTATGCTCTAAGACATGATTAAATGCAAGTTTGAGCTCAAGAATATGATTAATTCATGGATCAAAACCAAAATAGAAACATGCATGTGGGAATTTCATGAAAATGACTTCAAAATGTCATAATATGAACATGCATGCATGGAACCACTCTTAATTCAACACTTTACTTTAATTCTTGACCTTAAGCTCCTATTCCTCCATGAAACATGCAAGAAATGACTTGAATTCATGAACGAGAAGGTAAATATCCTACCTTAGGTCTTTAATTTTAGGTATAGAAGCTCAATTATGCAATCAACCTTCACATCTCCTAAGTCTCCAAGCCAATTCTCAATTGAAGCTAAGTTTTCTCCTCTCCTAACTCTCTCTTTCTAGTCGGTTTTGCCTCCAGGAATGAACAAGAATGATGCATCAAAGGCTCCAAGACAATGTTGTAGGTAGTGGCCCACTAATGGCAAAAGGGTAATTAAAGCAACTAATGTGATTCAACATTATTTAATCTAATTTAATCATTCTAAAACAATTTCAAATTAAATCTACCATAAAATCACATAAATTCTAATTAACATAAAACACCACTCGATTTCAGATTCGATCGCCGATAGGACCTTCAATTTGCAATTCAAAGATAAAATATGAACAGATCATTTAATGACTAACATATAGAAATGCATTTAAAACAGTATACTCATGCAATCAATTTAGAATCTCAGTCAAATCAGCACTTATCATTCTCAGTCATAGTTTAGTATTAATCAGAGATGAGGGTTGTCACAAATATACAGTGAGATACTATCTCACCGATGGTATATATCCACAATGGTCAACATTTGTGAAAACAATTCCTTCTCCTCAAGGAAATAAGAAAAAACTTTTTGCTGTAGCTCAAGAGGCGACAAGAAAAGATGTAGAACGTGCATTTGGAGTGCTTCAAGCACGATTTGCAATTGTGCGTCGACCGACACGTTTTTGGAATACTAAAATGCTTAAATATATTATGAAGGTGTGCATAATTCTATATAATATGATCATTGAGGATGAGCGGGATGACAATAGAGTAAAAGACTTCAATTATGATCAAATCGATGACAGTCCTTGTGTAACAGTGTTACAGGAGAGAACTACTGAACTTATGGAATTCATTCAATGTCATCATAACATTAGAGACAGGCAAACACATTCTCATTTCTAATCGGACCTTATTGAACACTTGTGACAATTACACAGCGAGTTGTAAAAGCTTTGAATTTGAAGTTTCATTTTATGTAGTATGTTATTAGTTTTGAATGTAATCAGTATATGCTTTTAATTTATGTGTAATTTTATAATTCTATATGCCTTTTAATTATATGGTTATCATTTTAATTCTATATGCCTTTTAATTATATGGTTTTCACTTTAATTATATGCCTTATATATATATATATAAATAATTAGCAATGTAGAGAAAATACAACACAAAATACCAGCAAAAATACCAGCAAAATAGTAGCAAAAACACCACAAAAATAGCAACAAAACAACAGCAAAATTAGTTCAAAAACATGTAGTAAACCTGTAGCAGCAAAACAGCCCAAAAACACCATCAAAAGCTAGAAGATTCATATATCTTAAAAATGTTAACAAACTGTAGCAGACCTGTGTCTCACATAGCATATCATTCCATTAAATTGTATGGACAGAAACCAATGTTGAGCTTATTAGTCCATACAAAAGCAAGCAAGTTGACAAGGCCCACAAATTTGAAAGAAAACAATATCTCTCGGCAATTCCCTAGCAAAAATGTAAGGTATAACTATTACCTTCAAGACAGTTTAACCAACAGCTACTAAAAGTACTATTATTGACCATAAACAAAGATTTTCTTTTGCAACTCAATCAAGCTAAATCAAGTTTCATCTCAAATTCTTAACTATTTTGCCATGTTTACATGTATTCTCCTTCAAATTTCCACTCATTCTTGGGCAATATTATATTCCAATTCAAATTTCCACTCCATTCAACGGATTTACAATGGTCAAACTATTTGATTCTCTCCATTCAACAGATTTACACTTAGTTCTCACAATATTTTATTCCTGGTTTTATTTTACTTTTTTTTTTACTTTCCAATAGTAGATGCATGCATGCAGTAATCATTTGGATAAAAATTAAAGAGACCTGCATTGGCATCCTAAAACCATAAATCTTTTACATATATACATCAATCCATTTCATTATGATTCTGCCCAACCACCAAACTACACCTCAAGCTTAAACACATCACTCCTCCCCAATATCATCTTTGATGATCATTCATCAATGCTCAAAGCTAAACCACAATTAATCAATTAGTACTAGATGTTTCCCCGTCTCAACCACAACCTATTTTTGGATTCAAAAGCTAAGAACAAGTAACACTTAGTACTTCCATTAAACAGCACCAAAACAACCCAAAAACACCAGCAAAATAGCAACAAAAACAGATTAGAAAACAAGCTAAAAATGGCAGCAAAGAGCAGCAGAACAACACAGCACAAACAGCATCAGATTAGACAACTAACATTGTGTACCAAAACATTGCTGAGTTCAACATCTATCCTAGACAAAAGCCAAAATATCATATATCAAGTTTCTAGCCTACTAGACAAAAGGCAAAATATCATAAAGAGCAAAGAAAGAATGAATACTAATTCATTCTTCTTTTCTTAATGATTTCCATCTGCCGAGCACGATAAAATTCTTGTTGGATTTCCTTTAAGCCATTGAGATCCATCAAAATAACTCTTTCGTCCTCTTTGAAAAGTTTCATTTCATGCTTTTCAAGTTCCACCTTATGCTTTTCTTGCATAATACGAAGTTCCACTTGTTTTTGAACGTACACTTTGTCAATCATTTCAATTTTCTTGTCAATCATTTTTCTTTTTGTCTTGCTTGGTGTCCTCCAAAGTTTTTGTAATACTCGAATGTACGCTTTCTTTGTTCTTTCGTTTATTCAATCGCTTCTTTTCAGCCTTCCTACCGGTTGGTCTCTCCAAGTCTACGAAAGCATTAGGTGAGACATCGTCTTCCCCTAGATTTATCAAATTCGGAGTACAAGGAGAAGAGGTTGTCCCTGTTCTTGGTCTTTTTTGTTGTTTTTTCTTCTCAGACTCTACCACCCATTTTGGTTGATCCCTTAACATAATCCAGCAGTGTTCGAATTGGAATGTAGATTTCTTGAGTTCCTTGTACATAATTTTCGCCTTGCAAATCTGAAAATTAAATAAATAAATAATATTTAGCAACTTCACAAATAATAATAATTGTAGATGTACAATATTCAATACCTTGTCATCCTCATTTATGCCACTTTGATGCAATGATTCAATTTGGGCATAGCACCCACAAAACTTATTCATGGCAAGTTGAATGGTTGACCATCGATTCATAAGAGAATTTTCATTTCAATTAGACTCAAATTTCTTGTGCTCATGGAAAAAATCCCATACTCTTTTCCAATAGGTAGAGCGTCTTTGCTCATTCCCATGTACCGTATCTAAACTAATATTAAGCCAAGCCGATACAAGGAGTTTGTCTTCTTCTATTGTGAAGTTTCCTCCACGTTGAGGTTTCTTTGACAAAGATTCAGTTTCAGCAGTAAATTGAGACTCTTGGGCTAATACATGAGTATTTTGATTCAAATATTGAGATTCCATTAGATAATGTTCATCAATGTTGGGCCTTAATTGTAAAAGATTCGTAAAGTAACCATCTTGTTGTGAATCCATACCTATGATTGAATAATAAATAAGAATTAAGAAAGCAGTGTAGAGTAGAGAACAATTTATTTATTTATTTATGTTTCCATCGAATTGACCAAAAACCTATCAGCACACCAAAACACAATGAAACATGCCAAAACAATAAGTCATTACAAGTTACAACATGTGCTAGGAGTATCAAACAAAAGTTATCTCTATTTCCCATTTTATTTATAAATAGATTGAGAAAAAAAAAATCTTAAACTTAACAAAAATTCTAATAAAGTAGAAATGATAAGAAAACGTGTCATCACTAATCCTGTGGCTAATCACCACCTCTGCAACTCACTGCCCACAACACAACCACTACTAGCACCATTATAGCTTGTTATCACCAATCCTACCTTTCTTGTTTCAAAGAACTATAAAGTAAAACTCAACCAGCTTCACATCAATATCAGCAATTTTCTACATAAGGCTATCAATCAATCCACAAAAGCTAAGTTTTAGACTACTTGCTTTAGGAAACATAGTTTTGAGTGTGTAATTTGGGTTTCTGTTCTGTTGAGGTGGACGTGTTTCATATCCATTTCTATTTTGTACCCTGTTTTCATTATCTAACAGTCTTTCCTAAGGTGGTAGTACTAATTTGGTAATTGCTTGCTTTTGGGTTTTGCCTAAAGTTTGTGGCTGAGAGTTGGTGATGATGATGCTGATGTATAATTGAAGCAGGTTTTTTTGTTTAATAATAGCAATCAACCTGCAAATTGTTCAATTACACTCAACTACCATTAATTTAGCCAAGTCCAATCAGGTTTATTCATTAAAATTTGTCTAAATATATGAATTTGTTTCCTCAGATTGTCCAACTACACACACAGAGATTAGCAGTTCAACTTTTCTGTCAACCGACTTTGGTAGTTATAGATACAAACACTACTTTGGTAGTTATAAATACAAACACTACTCTATACTTGTTTTAAAAACTTTGTTAATTCTTACTACATTTGCTATTAACCACAGATTTTTTAAAAATAATAAATAATAAATCATCAACAGTTAAGAAGAGTAAGAAAATATCAACTAACTAAGCACAAAATAAAAAATAAAATATTTTTTTATCAGCAAATAGAAAAACAAATTAAGGACATTTTAGGTTACACATGCACCAAACATATGAAATTTATGTTTAAAGTGTTCTGTCTATGGAAAGCATTTGAAGTGAATTTATGTTTAAGAGAATTTATGTCATATGGAATTCATGACATAAGAGAATTTAGGTTGCACATGCACTAAACATAAGAGAATTTATGTTTAAAGTGTTCTGTCTATGGAATTTATGTCAATAGAAAACATATGAAACAAACAGAAATGACAATCTATATGAAAGCATATGAAACAAACAAACAGAAAGCATAAACTGGGTACAATTTACAATCTATATTCTAACAGAAATTACAACAAACATATGGTGTGCAATACAAATACATAGACAAACAAACAGAAATAACAAAATTTATTACCTCCCTTGAGCAAAAAGTTTGAGAAAAAGATAGAGAGGATGAGAGAATTTGTGAGATTTGGAATGCTTTCTCTATGGATTTGTTAGGGAGGTACTGATACAACTTTTAGCGCCAAAATAAGGGAAAAATTTTACCGCCAAAAACAAATAAAAAATTAAAAGGTCCATGAACAGTACCTCGCTTGTCCTAGCGAGGTACTATAGCTCACATCCATCTTAGCGATGCTTGAGCGAGTCCGCTGGAGCCATCTTTTACCCTTCCAAGCTCGCTTCTATGGCTGACAGCACAAAATGGCTATACTACTGGAGATGCTCTTAGAACATGTGATACTCTAACAGCTATATTTTGGTAGCAACTATCAACTCCACCTGGTGTGCCAAAAGTTGATGTGTCATTTGGCATCATCCTTTCATGTCAATTTTAACATATTCCTACTTCATTCTTCATACTTCATACTTCATACTCTTTTTTTTTTTTAGGAGTTTTCATGTAAAATAAAGAAAAAGTTCAAGTTAAAAAAATAATTGAATAATAGATTTGACATATCAGGTGGAAAGTTTCCATGTCAAATTGACATATGTCAATTTGCCATCTAAGCCTTCAAAAAAAATTTAACATACCAAATTTTGGCTTCGTTTGAGAAGTGAGTTGGCTTTTTAGTTTTTTTAGCCAAGGCTAAAAAAGCCTCATTTGAGTTAGGTTTTTTGGTTTTTTTGATTTTTATGAGAAAAAAAAATGAAATGATTATAGTTTGAATGTGACCTTTTGTCTTCTTGATTAATCTATTTTATCTTTTTTGCGCCTATTTTAACCTTTTAGGCCCAAAAGGCTTTGTTCTAAACGAGTAGGAATAGCAACGGGGCGGGGCGGGGCCGGGGATCACCCTCCCCGTCCCCGATCCCCGATGGCAGAACTTCCCCCCGTCCCCGTCCCCATCCCCGACGGGGAACCCACTACCGCCCCCACCCCCGCCCCCTAACGGGGATCGGGTTTCCCCGACCCCGAAAACTCCCCGAGCTTCAACACCAGAACAACAAATCAGATCTAAATTTAAATTTACAGATTTAAATTTTTTTTAAAAAAATTACAGATCTAAATTTACAGAGAGAACAACGAGAGAGAGATCTAAATTTACAGATCTAAATTTACAAAAAAAAATTACAAATCTAAATAATAATCACAGATTTAAATGAACAACGAGACCCAGATCTAAATTACAGATCTAAATAATAATAATCACAGATCTATATATATATATATGAATAAGAATCATACTCTGTTTGTTTCTTCCTCAGAATCCGAAACTGCTCAGGCGAAACAGATGCCCTCCACTCTTCGTCTGATTTCTGCACAGATCCAGAAGCAGCCATGGCTACAACTCCGCCTCTGAATCTTCTCTCGCTCTGACGAAACAAAAAGCCAAACCCAGGTTGAGAAATTGGGGTATTGATGAATATGGGCTTTGATGAAAACTGCCTGAGTTGGGTGTTGCAGAGCCTAGTGGGAGTATTTGACTTTGGTAGTAATCGGGAAAAGAGTGATCAAATAAGTTTATTTAAATATTAGAGTTGAACAGAGATTTGGGAGAAAAGAGTGATCAAATATGTTTATTTAAATATTAGAGTTGAACACCAGATTTGGTATATTAGAGTTGAACACAGATTTGGTTTATTTAAATATACGGTTTGGTTTTGTTTTTTTTTTATTATATATATATAATATAAGGGGTATAAAGGTAATTTCACTTCGGGGAAATTCGGGGACGGGCCCGGGGATCGGGCCGAGGCGGGGCTTAAACACTGATCACTGTCCCCAGCCCGAAACAGATCGGGGATTGATTTTCAGATACCGTCTTCTCCCCGTCGGGAGTATTTTTCGGGAAAAAACCGTTTAAATCGGGGTCGGGATCGGGGATCCCCGTCGGGCCGGTTTCAAATTGCCATCCCTATGCGCCTCACCAAAGCGAGGCGCAAGTTATAAAAGTTAAGCAAAATATTAATATAACACAATTTTCAACATAGAAAGTATTTAATATGTATATTATTAATTTTTTTAATAAGAAGAGAGAAGAAGAAAAAAAATAATTAATTTTTTTAATATATATATTATTTTATTTATTTATTATATTTTTTACATAATGTGTTTTAATTAATTTTTTTTATTTTATTTTACATACATGTGTTTATTTTTTTTATTACTATAAATAAGTATATATTATATATTATATAATAGATATTATAGGTATTATATAATATTATATATATATATATATGAATCAATTATATATTATATATAAGTATATTATATATTATATAATAGGTATCACTTTTTGCTCTCTTTTGACCACATTTGGTCATTTTATATTGAAAAGTTTTGAATCCCTATAGGCATGCCCACAAAAAAAGCACTTTTTTATTTTTTTTTCCAAAAAAA